CCCTGGTTCCGCCCCTTCATGAAACAATAATATGTAAGGGTGGTCTTTGGTGGGGCAGATGGACACAAGGACAATATGGATTTTTTCACATTTTTATTGAAATGCTTGAGAACCAATTTTCTCTGTGCTCTACTATTTCGTTCTTTCCTTTAAAGTGCCATTACACAATACTGATCCCAGCTATCCAGGGTCTCGGGAGGGTGGGCTGGAGGCAGACCTAACATTTGACATTTTTTACACCAAGTGGCTGCTCTCAGACTAAAACTTACTTGCTCATGATTGTAAGCCTGAGATTTTTCCATTTCAATCAGAAATGACCCTTTTATTCTTTCCTTTAAAATTACTTGATCAGTTACTGATAAAAAAAAGTTCCTACTGGTACTGGAAATAGCAATAAAATTGATTCACGTTGATACACATGCATTCATGCCTGCACATGTAATGTGCACATGACCATATTCATATGTTTATGCACCCTGGATTTTGTTCATTTTCTTCTACACAGCACACACAGATTTCTACATGAATGCATGTGTGACACATGAGCATGAACAGATGGTCACATGTAAGCATATGCATATTCATATAGGCATATCTTTTTGTCTGTGTGTTTGTGCCTTCTATGTGCCTGTTCAATGTTAGTACTAGTGCCTAACTGGTTGATTTATTGAGTTTCTTTAGCAATCAAATTTGCTACATGATACCCTTATTAGTGAACTATGTCATGTAGACTCTTTGAAACCCCAAATTGATCGACTTAGCACCTGCGTATAAAGGTTCTGACAAAGTACTTGAGGGGACTTATATTTTTGATTCTGATGTGAAACTATAGCAACTTGGATTCATATCCAAAGATTAGGAAATGAACTGTATATCTGAAGTACTTGATAGATTTGCTGTAATCAATTATAAAGTTTTAGCTGTCAAGAGGATTTGCATTATTTGTGCTTCTACATTTAACCTGTTCTCTATTTCATCAGTTGGTCCATTGATTACATAAAAATTGGAAATAAAATATACCTATCATGTCCTGGAGTTGATACTTTTATAGAGCAACACTTCATATCTATGTCAGGTTCCAATTTGAATTCCCACATTCATGCAACACATGCAACATAGCTGGTAAACTTCCTTTATTATGAAATAGTTTCATTGCATGTAGAAGCATATCATGGTCAACTCTGATTTTCTACTATTTGGTAATAAATGTGATTACATTTTTTTATCAGCAATAAATATGATTACAATTGATAAGGAAGTTTTTCTTAGAATGCCTTTTTGACATTACTGGATTGTAGCCATTTCTTTGAAACATTTCACAGTACTTATGCTTGTGAAAATGTGTTTTCTACAATTGTAGGTCTTCTTATTTCAGAAATCTGCTGTTCATAGGTGCAACATGGCTGGGAAGCCTGCCATAATTACTCGAGTGGTGGATAGCATGATCAACAATCTACGGCCAACTCGTGCAGAAGCGACTGATGTTGCAAATGCCGTGCTTGATGGTTCATAACTAATTACATTAAAATGGCACATATTTGTAGTTTGTTCAAAACCAATGTCTTAATGTTTACGTATTCATCTCAGGAACGGATGGTATTTTATTAGGTGCAGAGACACTTCGAGGACTCTATCCTGTTGAATCAATAAAAACTGTTGGAAGAATCTGTGCTGAAGTAAGTATGTGCATCTGCCAATTCAGAGTTTATTCTAATAAATATGCAGGAAGATAATTGTCCTTGTTCCAATAACTAATTGACTGAAGCACTACAGGAATGAAAGTATTCAGAACAAATTAAAAAAAAATTTTGCAGAGAACTGTAGGGAAATCAGATTCACTATAAGAGGTATTTGGGAGACAAAACCTTTACCTACCTTAGGGTATATTTTTATTAATAATAAATTAGTATATTTACTAGTGATATAAAGAGTAAATAAATATAAGCCTCTGAGAATGACAAAATAACTCAAACTTAACTAAACCTAGTCTCATATATACAGGGTTGGCTAGATGAGTCCTCTTCTGCCATTCAACTCTGTTCATTGTCATATAAAAAGGCCATTACCAAATACTGGTCCTATCTATCCGGGGTCTTGGGAGGGGTAGACTAGATACAGTCCTAAACCTGTCATTTTTTGCATAAAGTGTCTGCTCTCAGAATCAAACATTCTTTCTCGCACGTTTCAATCCAAGACTTCACCATTATACCAAGAAAACTGTGTTAATTGTCATATCCATTGTTAAATCAGTCACTCAAATCATTTCTCACTACTTCAACCTGTGTCATTTTTGGCCTAGCCCTATCTCTTCTGGACCCTTGAACTTTCTATGTGCAAACAGATCACTCCTTCCTCTCTTAGTGAATGCTCCTGCATGAGCACAAAGTGACAATTCTGGAGCCATGCTCATAAATTTAATAAGGGTTTGGCAAAAAGTTTTAATGCTGGCTTCCAACCTACACAACCCTCTATTTGGGCCCAGGACTCGCAGTGTATCTCTATAGTGGTATAATACTTAATATATCCCTAGCATACTGATACTTTTCCATGTGAAATCTGTGGGGAATGCTTACTAGCTTTGTATCATAAAGTATGATCCTTTACAAGATATAATATATGACTATGAGTATGCTTTTAACCAAAAGAAAGGCTCACCATTTTGTAGGCTGAAAGTGTTTGCAACCAGTATCTTCAGTACAAGAGAATAGTAAAACATGTTGGGGAGCCAATGTCTCATGCAGAATCTGTTGCTTCATCAGCGGTATCTAACTCTTCCCTATCATTACTGCTTTCACTTTTTAACTTCTCTTCAACTGCATTCATGATGGTCCTCCCATTTAAAAGGTGCGTGCTGCAACTAAAGTAAAGGCAGCGATGATTGTTGTCTTTACATCATCTGGGAGAGCAGCAAGGTACTCTTCTATGTGCCAACACTCCACAAATTAATAATTTATTTTGAAAGTTAAAATTTTGAGTTCCTAACTAGGTGACTCTATTGATAGGTTGGTTGCAAAATATAGGCCTTCTGTCCCTGTATTTTCCATAGTAGTACCACGACTTAGGACAAATTCATTGAAATGGACTTTGTCTGGAACTTCACAGGTATCAATATGTGTCAGTTATTTAGAGGCCTCAATGTTTGCTATCAGTTTCAGAAGTTCTTATTTCTTATGACATTTTTTGTGATATTATCTGTTTATTTCCTATGTGCAGGCCAGGCAATTGCTTGCTGTCAGAGGGGTCTATCCTATTTTGGCCAGTCCTAATGTGGTAAGGCCTTTGCTCTTGATTACCTGATTATTAAGGAGATGGAAGACATATGCTGTCCTTTTCCCCATAAAATAATAAGTAGAACCACTGAAAGAAGGGGCAGACTCCATAAGTATAGGAACACCATCATACACGAGAAAAACTTTAGAACTCATACACAAGTTATTTACAGAGGATTGTTGAAAACACACTAATTGTCGATATGGAATGTGGAATTCCGACTAGTGATGTTGCTAACACTTTCTTAAATTCTTTGGAGAATAGAATACAAGTGAAATATGAACTTAGTTTTTCTATCAACTTCACATTAAAACATAGAGCTGCCTGCCTTGGGCTTGGACAGTGCCTGAAAGAAGCCTCTGAAAAAAACTGAAAGCTGTAATCTATGACTACTAAAACTAATAGGCTATGTTTTGGGATGGGAAATCCCTACCTTTGGTAATAGTAGGGGTGCAGCTTGGGTTAGATTGAACATTCATTAAATTTGAATGGGCTGAACGCTAACTCAAGCCTTACTGATAAAAAAAAAATGCTAACTCAAGCCTGATGTAATTGAAGTTCTAAAATAAGGCAACCCGACTTGCATCATCCCTAGGTAATAGATGGCTTATAAGAGTCAGACCCTTAGTTAATCTTGAAGGGATGGATCAAACCAAAGATGATCTCATGGTCTAGTCATCTAGAACCAACAGTAGTTGATATTAGCAGGGGGCAGGGGTCAGTCTGGGATGTTCCAAATGTCTTTGAAGCTTGTATCTAATGAAGTGCCATTGGATCAGACCCAAGAAATGCTAAGAATTACCCATCCATGAAGGGAGAAGTGTATTAATTGATATTAAAAACTTTCAATTTCAGCTTATTCAATTTGGTTCCCTTTTCTTTTCTGGGCGAGGGAAGTGATTTTCCTTGTATCACTATTAATATATTTTTTCTTTTGTTTAATTTTCATCATTCTCTTTCTTTTCATTTTGCTAACTATTACTTAATGTTCTCACATTCCAGGTTACTTCTGGCGTCTCTAGTGAAGAGTCTGGGTTGAAACTTGCATTTGATCATGGAAAATCGGTGGGATTACTAAAGCCTAATGACCAGGTTGTTGTATTTCAGAAGATAGGGGACTCCTCAGTTGTCAAGATTGTTGAGCTTCAAGCCTGATGTTTTTGGGTAGCCTTTTCCCAATTTTAGGGAGTAATAATACCAGCATTGCCAATAAATTTGCTCTGTTGTATAATTTCTACATTATTAAATTAATCCTATTCCCATCTAGTTTCTCTGAAAATATTTCAAGCAACCATAGCTGATTGTTTCTCTTGGCACTCAACGAAAGCAGCTGTGTCTGTTTTATTCTGAATTTTAAGGCGTAGTTCCCATCTTTCCTAAAGTGCTTTCTAGGACTCGGCATTATTGGGTAGAAAAGCCAACCTCATCTGGGTTACCTGAGAACAACCTGTGTCATTGACATTGAAATCCCAAAACCTTCAAAGTGAACATTTTGCAAACCCAGATCAACAGCTAATGCAATTACATGAAAAAGCTCAAATACTTGTACATACCAAGGAGAGAATTTGGAAAGTGGAATAGCACGAGAGAAGACATGGTTGCCATTGTGGTCTCGAAGAAATGATGCCTACACCTGAATTGGTCTTACTAACAGGCAAACCACCGAGAATTGTTGAAGATGGAACCTAAGCAAAAATAAACGCATATAGGAAAATAATGGCCGTTTCTAAAGTTACTTTAATATTGGAAACTTATGGGCTACCAATTCCCCACCACCTAGTTCCATTTTAAGAACCCCCAACCACCACTAAGGATAAAAGTATTGGTATCAGGCAAGGTTCTAAATATCGATATGCTTGAGACGCCGGTAGGGGTAGGCAGTATTGGTATTGTATTTTTAATTTTTTTAACTTTTTTCAAATCCGGTTCAGGGGGGGCGGTTTAAGGTTCCTCCACCCCCTGAACTGGTCAAAACCTTGAAACACCCTCTGTAGGGGCGTATCGGGGTGCTCCCGATACAATATGTATCGGTCGATACATAATGATTTTTTGAACTTTGGTATCAGGTATCGTATTGGACAATTCGGGTATAGATACGAATATGGATATAGATACACTTTGAAAATGCATGGATATACACGAAAAAATACGAAAACGCTTTGATACACTAGGGAAATGCTATAAATTCTATAAATATATTAATAAATATTAAATTTAATGTCAAAATAGCCACAAATAATGTATAAACACAGAGAAAATATATATTCTAATAATATATGTGGAAAAATGCATTACAATTAATATAGTAGGATGTATAAATATCATGCAATTTATTACAATTTTATTGACAATGCATCAATCAAGAGCCTAAGACACATAGTATATAGATTTTTAAAAATTAAAACATGCACAAAACCATTAGTATTTTATTTTCTATTAAAGTCCAAGGCACAAAACACATGCAATTATTATATTTGCAGTATTATATCAATTATTTTCTATTTTGTTATTTTTAATTTTAACATTAACATTAACATTAATAAAAAAAAGTCAACTAAAATATTAATACTCAAATGTTTGGTAAACAATATTTTTATTTTTATAAAAAATAAATATGTTATTATAAAATATAAATTAAAGTATCAATTAATAATTTATAAAAATATACATTCTTATCTTAATATTTTTAATTCTATAATTTTTCTAAATGAAAAAAAAATCAATTTTTGAAATAAATGTAGACAAGTGGATTTGATAGACTCAAATCATATTATGTTCTCAAATGTTTTGTAAGCAGTATTTTTATTTTTGAAACTAATATGTGTATTTATTTAATTAAAATGAAAATATTAATTAATATTTTATCAATATTTTAAGATACATATCATGTGCAAATTTATAAAATTTAAGTATTATAATAATTATTCTATCATTAATATTTTTATAGATATGAATTTCTTGAGATTAAAAATTATTTTTTGATATAAATATGTATTTGATAAATTATTTATTCCATTAGTTTATAAAATTCTAGTTTTGAATATTATTATTTTTAATTTGTAGTTGGAATTGTTGGATATAAATATAAGTTGTTTGTTTAAATTTTATGTGAAATGTGGACATTGAAGTTAATAAAGGTTATTTTATTTCAATTATAAATATAAAATGAAAGGTGGCATAGTGATTAAAGGCATTTTTAAGACTAAATACTGGACAACTTGGGTTTGAATAATGTCATCTCCTTTTATTAAATAGAGTAATGACAATTGTTAAATTAACTTCCAATACGCCTCCATATTAGTTTGTATTAGACCTTATCAATTGATATTGTGTGATACACACCGATATGGGTCCATATGGGACCAATATGCACAATTAGCAGGATACACCTCCAGACGTAGTGTATCCTATATCATTACCATGCGATACCAATACCCCGATACAAGGCATATTGTATTAATATTTTAAAACTTGACCACCATAAACAGGTTTATATGCAAGTGGATGACTAAGGGTGTAACTTTTGCTCATTAGGTTGGGTTGAGGGTTAATCCAAACCCAGGGTCAAACCTTGGTTTATCAATTTATGCCCAATTTGAGATGGGACTAAAGTTGGGTTGGGTTAGGTCAGACTTAGTTGAACTCGGACAAATTGGTTGGGTTTGAAAGAATTTACAAATATATTTTTGTATAGTCATCTCTTATTATGGCCTAATTGCAAAGTATAATTGATTGAAAATATTTATAAATTTTAATTACAAATTTAAATGTACATATTTTATACATATGAGGTAAACAATGAGTTAGAACATAGGCTACGCAACCAACGACATTGTAACATGTCTCACGTTTTTGATTAGTGGGTAAAAGTAAATGTAATGGGAGAGTGGGGGTGTTTGGGTACGGTGGCCTTATATTGCTTTGCATTTTGGGTATTCAATACCAATGGATCGAAACATTTCACCACGCTCCACAGTCCTGGTGCTCATGCAGGCTGGCTTTGCATTAGTCCCCCTAGTTCCAGCCAAACACTGCAATACCGATGTCATCACCTGTGCCGCATGATTGCAACTGGGAGGCGTAGTATAGGCTCTGATACCATCTATTATGTGCCTTAGGAGAATTCACCCCTAAAAGCTAGCTGTTAGAGAGAGGGAATCTAGACACATATACACCCCACAACAGCATCCCATACTACCAATGCGAAACCAATGGATCGTAACAGAAATACTTGCAGTCCCGTTTCTCTCCTTCATTTTCCTATATTTCCAGTTTAACTAAATTAACTAACAAAGTCTTTCTTCCTGTTTTTACAGGTCTGTGAGGGGCGTGCAGACCATACTGATGCCGTTGAATTGACATATGATACGCGAAATGTATCAAATAGATCTCTCTCCCTGATTTTTTCTGGGAAACCCATGATCCCACCAACAAAGAATATATACTTGATGGTTCCTTCTCCCTTTTTTACATTAACTATGGCTTTAATTCCCCTTCGATGTTTGGGATTAATACACATTGTTGCAGAATTTTGGGATTAATACACATTAATACACAAGGTCTCCGGTTCGAGTCCGGGCGATGCCAATTTTTATCATTTCTAATTTTTTACCCACTTGCCCAGCTGGCTATCAAAGTGCTAGTCCATAGATTCCTGGCTATGGTGGTGTCTGATAAAACTGAAATTTGAAAAGCAAATTTCTGCCGTTCTTTTGTTTTTTAAAATGTATTTAATATTAAAAGAAATGAAGAGATTAATCGTTGGTAGTGTCGGGTATCATCTGTCATTTTCTTACTTATCATATTTTTTTGTTTAATATGACAATCTAGAAATTTTAATAGAGGTGTAATGGACCGATTTTGGATTGGACCCCATCCAAATCAAAATTAAATTAGACGGATTGGATGGACCAATAAGACATATTGAATTGGACCAATCCAGACCTAATGGTCCGAAGTATTTATTGGATTGGATTGGACATGGTCCATCCATAATGAATTTATATTAGAAAAATTTATTTGATAAATTTTTGTGTTTTTATAATTTTTATTTCTCTCTATTTTTTGAGTTATTATTATAAAATCATGACATCATGCGTTGACCTTTCTGAGTACTTTAAAGATAAAAGAATCTCATTTTTAGGAAATTTTAAATTTTCTATGCCATTTCCATAATTAATTATAAAAATTATTATTATGCCACTTTGTTTAATATGACAAATCTATATTATATGAGATATGTTAAAATTTTTCATAAATTTTTATATATTGTTTATGCAATTCTATTTATTTATTTTTATTATTTAATTATGGCATCATTGTTTGACCCAATTTACCAAATGGTTGGATCATTAGGGTGCAAGTTGTGCAAGTTGGGCCAAGTTCATAATCAACCTAGGCCTAAGACTTACCCAAGGTCAAGGTTGACCTATCCAATTTGGGCCCAATCCACATTGAAATTTGATGCACTTGGGTTGGGCTCAAGCTTGGGTTGGTTATAGATGTCTGCAAATATGTGCCTATGTATGTATGTATGTATGTATGGTCAGAAGAAGCTACCTAAGGCTAAGCCTAGGCACACCTCAAAAAATATTAAAGTCCAAGCTTTTGGGCTAGGTCCAAGCCCAACCTAAGGACCAAAAAACACAAGCCAGTTTGTCTAAAATTGCAAGTTGGGTTGGTCTAGGCTCAAATTGAGTCCACCTAATCTGCACCTTTATGCATCACGAAATTAGTTTAAATTTGTATTCTATTTTCATCATTAATAAAAACAACTCTTATTTATTAAACTTTTGTTTAATATGATAAAATAAATAATACTAGAGATGTACCCAAATGTTCTCTGCATTTTTTTTTTGTGTTTTTAATAATTATGTCTCTTTCTTAAATTTATTGTTATTTAATTATAACAATGTGGGTTGATCACTGAAAGGTTGAACTATGGATCCATCACTTGAACAGGATAAAGGTTTCTATTTTTAGGTTACTTTTAATTTGTGTATTTCATTTCCATCATTAATAACAATATTTCTTATTTATCATTCTTATTTTTATTAAAATGATATATATGTGTGTGTGACTAATTTTTTTGTAATTTCTATATTTTTATTTATTTTTAAACCTTTATTATTTAACTATAAAACCACTGGTGACCCATTTGACCTAGATGGTTGAACTACATACTTGCCACACTAACAAAGGAACAACTTAATTTTCATGTTGGATTTAAGTACATAGCTTTTTAATTGTTAAAATTATTGGTAATA